CGCGTGTCGCGAGTTACCCCACATGTATTCGACTGTCGTCTCTGTTTTTCTCGCGAGTTGTGAGTGTATGTCGCGACTCGCGAGACAATGTCGCGACTCGCTAAGCTGTCGCGACTCATTTCGCGACTTACCTGTTCTTTCTTTTAAAAAAAATTGACGGGTTCTTTTTTTTTTCTTTTGCAGGTTCTCTTTCTCTCCTTCTCGCGATTCTTTCCCGACCGTCACTCCTCGCTCACATATCTCCACCGTCTCCGTTCACTTTTCCCCTCCGACCGCCGACGCTCCGACCACCGTCGACCTCTACCTCCGGCTAAGACGTCTGGCCCCAAGTTCTTCCTCAATCGCGACCTGCAAACCCTAGCCCCCAATCTCGGACTTCGCTCCGCACGTCGCTTCGTCAATTCCGTCCTTCTCGCCGTCGTCTTCTCAGACCTCCGTTCCGACCTCCATCATCCGGCTAACCTTAATCCATTCTCTTCACCAGCAACCAACGAGCAGTCCACCATTTCCGACCCCACGGCTTCACGGCGAGCTCGCCCACGGCCCCTCCATCTCCGACAGTGCTCCGCCAGCTCTTTCTCTCTCTCGACCTCGCGACGTACATCCGTCTCTTACCTCCGACCACCGGCCGTATTCTCGAACGTCCAACCTTCCGTTTATTCCGACTGCACTTCGCTCCCACCATCGTCCTCGAGCTCGACACCATTGTTTCGAATTTCTGGGTAACCGTGATTTCTCTTATTGCGCTTGCCGATATTCTGCTATTTGGGGTTGGTTGGTGATGATTTGAGGTGCATATTGCAACGTTTGGGCTTCGTAGTTCTTGTCTTCACTCCAATTTCCTTGTCGGGTTTTTGCACGTAAGGTGTTTGATTAATTGCTCGAAAGAACCTCGTATTACAACATGGTGCGAAAAGGGGCCGGTAAGAAGCGTAAGAAGACTGTCGGCGAGTCCTCTGCTTCTCGGGACGGGCAAGTTGATCTACGGGACGATTACAATGCCCCCTTTCCCATTCTCTCGGAACGCGAGGGGGAAGTTTACGCTCGGCTCGCACCGAAGGCGGTCTTGAAATCCAAAACATTCGACTTCACCTTGCTCTCCGACCTTGGTATTTTAGCGACGATCCAGCAGTACCTTGACACGCTTGGCTTGCGGAAGTATGCCGACGTTTTTCATCCGACCTATCAGAACCTCACACTCGAGTTCTTCTCTACCCTCGAGTTTCGAAAGAATTCCGATGGCTCCGAGTACATGACGTGCCGTTTTCTTGGTACTAAGGTGATAATTGATGCCGCCGTCATGGACCGCGTCTTGGGCCTCCGTAATGTAGGCAGTAGCGGTTGGGCGTCTATAACTCCGTCTCGTTTCTGGACCGAGATTTCTCCCGACACGGTCTGGGACTCCCGTGGCATGGCTAATAGCCTCATTGAGAGCGGCGCGATTGCCGTAATGCACAAGTTCTTGTGCTATGGCCTCTTCGGGAAGAAGGAGGCGAATAAGGTCTCTCAGAATGATCTCGTCGTCATCTGGTCTATGCTCCGGAATGAGCCTCGGAATGTGTTGCATATCTTCACGGACGAGCTCCGGGCTGTCACCCGGACTACGCGTACATTCGCCTGTTTTGGACATGTGGGGACGGCGTTCGCTTTGCATTTTGGCCTCGATCCTGTGGCGTCTGGCAGCCCCCTGGTTTTGATGCGGCGCATTGATCCTTTTGAGCTGTCGCATTCGGGCCTCATCGTGGATCGACACACCTTCGTGGCCTATCCTCAGTGTCAGGCTTACGCCACCTATGCGAACAAGGTAGCGGCCGCCGCTGCCGCCGCTCAGTCAGGATCGTTTCGTCCTCCGCCAGAGCCGGAGGTGATGGCGCACGATCAGGAGCTTATCGACGAGGACCATCGCCTTCCGCCGCCGGTTGGTTGGCAGCCGGCCCCAGAGGCTGATTTTCAGGAGCCCCGACCCGCGGGTTCGCAGCAGCGCCCCGCCGAGCCCTTTGCTCCGCCAACTTGGTGGTCCCAACCTCCTCCGTGGTGGTCGGCGTTCGAGGACCGCTACAATCGGGACATGCGCGACTTCAGTGCCCGATTCGACAACGCCGACCTCCGCTTTCAGGCTATCGAGGCCTGGCAGACCCAGTGGGACGCGCGGTACACTCAGTGGAGCTCCGGCACCGGCCAGCCCTTTCCTCCTCCTCCGTCTCCTCCTCATGGACCACAGTGACTTGTCACTGTGTTGGTTAGCTTTTCTTTTTCTTTTCTCTTTATTTTGTTTCTCTTTTGTATTTTCTCTTTATTGTGTTTTGTCGGTTAATTGTGTAAGTACAACTTCCTTTCACTGCGGCTCGACAATGGGGACATTGTCTGATTTTCAGTGTGGGGGAGTTTATGTGGCTGTATGATTGACCAGGTCTAGTTGTTTTTCTTGTTTTAGGGTGTGTTTTATTTCTTTCTTTTGCTTGTGGACCAGTCTAGTGTAGGATTTATGTGTTTTGGGTCTGTACTTGGAAAATTCATGGTGAGTTAAGATGTGTTCAGTGGATTCAATGAGTTGTGATGTTGGCATTGTATGGCATAGCGTGATGAACTGCTTGGTTAATGGCTTTGATTGACATTCAGATATTTTCCTAGTGAGGTTTGAGCCTTATTTCTTTCTTGAGATACATTGGTCATGCTCTTGTTTGATTAGAACTTGCCCTGAGTCTGCATCGAAATGAATCAATTTGAGTTGTGAACTGTGAATATGATTAAGGCATTTTTTGTATCTTTCTATCCTTGTTTTTTATGCAGTTATTCCCTAGTTGCCCTTTTGAGCCTAATTGTTTTCTTTTATAACCCCGTGATGATGACATTATTGAGTTTCGGGTTGAGAATGGGAGGGGATAATTGTGGAGTTTGTTTATTTTTCTCAAAAAAAAAAAAAAAGAAAAGAAAAAAAAAATGTAGCCGAATGGATTGTCATTGTCCAAAGAGGTTTACACAAAAAAAGGAAAAAAAGAGCGACCAAATAGGGTCGCGAGAAAAAAAAATATAAAAAATAAAAAAGAAAAACAACAAAATAAGTTGGGTGTAAATGTGTGTTTTTAGGAGAAGTGTGGGGGAGGTCCGGTTTGTTTGAGTAACCGAATGAGCGTGCATTCTTGGGTTAGGAGTTTGAATTATGTTCGAGCCACTTAGCCTATATTTATCCTACCTGTCCAAAGAGCCTACGTTACAACCCTGAAAGACCTTTTGATTCACTAGTTGCAGTTTTTGATTGGTTTAGAGTAGAAGTTAGACAATGGGCAGGCTTATGATTGAACTTGTTATTGACCAATTTGAGTGCATCCATATCTTTATCTGTATAAGAAAGTGAGTGAGGCACACATATACATTCTCATATTTGAGTGGACGTCATATTGAAGTTTAGCGATCAAGCATGTAGTCGTGTTATGTTCGTATGTGCCATTTGAATGCTCATTGTTGAAGTTGAACGTGTTGAGACTTATCTTGTTATCGACTGATGACCAGACTCGTTTCTTGTTTCGTGTCTTTTCTTTTCTTCTCTTCTCTCTTCTTTTCTTTTCTCTTTGTTCGGGACGAATAAAGGTCTTAGTGTGGGGGAGTTGTTTGTCCCATTTTTGTGTCTTTATTTCATAATTATTTTCTTTTCGTTTCCCCCATTTGTAGGTTTTTCGTAGTTTATTTGGTCCAATTCGTTGTTTTGCGTTTTTCTCTTTAGTTTATATTTGTGTGTCTTTGTCGTGTTTTGCTTCGTGTTTTTCTGTGTTGTGTTTTCAGGAGGTAGGTTGTGCCGGTCGAGGTTAGGATTGCGTGAGCTGAGACTGTGATTTAGAGAACATCCGTTACCGAGCCCAGGAAACTCGAGGAAGGATGTCTCGCGACTCGCGAGTCGAGTCGCGACTCGAGGGAATGTCGCGACCCGCGGAAAAAACAGAGGCTTATGGTGCAGTGTCGAGCAGAACTCACGACTCGCGAGATGATGTCGCGACTCGCGAGATGGAGTCGCGACTCGCGAGATATTTCGCGAGTCAACCCCAGAAAGGTCTTAGTGTGGGGGAGTTGTTTGTCCCATTTTTGTGTCTTTATTTCATAATTATTTTCTTTTCGTTTTCCCCCATTTGTAGGTTTTTCGTAGTTTATTTGGTCCAATTCGTTGTTTTGCGTTTTTCTCTTTAGTTTATATTTGTGTGTCTTTGTCGTGTTTTGCTTCGTGTTTTTCTGTGTTGTGTTTTCAGGAGGTAGGTTGTGCCGGTCGAGGTTAGGATTGCGTGAGCTGAGACTGTGATTTAGAGAACATCCGTTACCGAGCCCAGGAAACTCGAGGAAGGATGTCTCGCGACTCGCGAGTCGAGTCGCGACTCGAGGGAATGTCGCGACCCGCGGAAAAAACAGAGGCTTATGGTGCAGTGTCGAGCAGAACTCACGACTCGCGAGATGATGTCGCGACTCGCGAGATGGAGTCGCGACTCGCGAGACATTTCGCGAGTCAACCCCAGAAATTTATATTTTGACGACGCGCGAGTCGCCAGGAAGTCGCGACTCGCGAGCGAAGAAAAGGTCCACCGAATAATTTATACCATTTATAATTTCTGCGTGCATCGCAAATATGAAATCCAAAATTCGATAAACAAGGGTGTGTTTGTTTATAAATAAACTCAATACATACTCAATGAATATTAAAAATCTAACTCAATTTTAACTCAATCCCACAATTTTCAATATTATCAATATAATTACATAATAGTAATCAATAATGCTTACAAGTCACATCAAGTTTAATACTTTATTCATCCATTCACATAACTTTTAATAAACAACCTATTCACGTCATCGTTTTTATTTTGACATAAAATCAAGTTTAATTTTTTTTTTAAAATTCTTTTAATATGAATTCAAAATTTTACTACCAACTAACTCTACCATAATTTTCAATATTAATTTTATTTAAAAAAATATATATGTAGCATTTTACGCAAATATTTTTGTATCCAAGTAGAGAAATGGCCACACGCTATTTGTTGGATATATTTCCCAAAGCCGGTGAGAAGAGCTCACATTCCTCAAACTTAAGATAAAACGCACACGCATATCACATGTAAAAGGAACCATTACATACATATCCGTACATACATACGCCGCCGCGTTGGAGGAGAACAACGGAACGGCTCGACATCCAGGCGAAGTTTCCGAGTTCCTCCGGAAAAGAGATCCTTTTCCGGTGGCGTTTTTGCCGTGTCAAGCGGTTTATTCAGATTGAGGGATAGTAATTGCAATCGAAAAATGAAGAGGCGTACCGCAAAAGGCGCTGCTTCGACCTTTGCCCCGCCGGCGCCGGCCGGAATCGGTGGCGGTAGTCAAAAGAAGGCGGAGAAATTCGAGCGGCGTCTGTTGAAATACGACGAGCTGCCGGAGTATTTGAAGGATAACGAATTTATAAGGGATTATTACAGATGCGAATGGCCTTTGAAAGATGCAACCCTCAGCCTATTTTGTTTGCACAATGAGACTCTCAATATTTGGACGTGAGTCGAATTACCTGTCTTCCATTTACTTTTGAATTGGATTATTAGATTGAATCTGGATTATTTGGTATTTTCAGGCATCTGATTGGTTTTCTAATATTTTTGGGGCTGACGGTGATGAGCTTGACGGGAAAGATGACCTTGGAACATTGGATCTCCATTTTTTTCGGGTAATTTCTTTGTTATTAATAATTTTCTTTTTGATAATATTTTAGCTGTTCAGTTTATTTGGATATTTTTTCATTTTGTTGTACATAGATTCCCTTATTTTGATTTATGATAGAAGAATAGTTGAATTTTGCAGGGAGGGTAAAGATGGATGGCTGAAGACGAAAATGATGAACCAATCTAACGGCTGCAGCGCTTTCTTTCCGGTTAGTCACTTTTTCTCGATTGTCGTGTTAAAATAAATAAAAAAAAAAGAAGAGGAAAGTCATAATATTAGTTGGTAGAGAAATGTTGGTAATATAAAAAGGACGCTAAAGATTTGGACGGTAGGTAAGAGGACCACATGCTGTTTGGGGGTTGTATTTTACTAAGTTACACTTCCTATCTATTGTTTGACAAAAAAAAAAAGACTTCCTGTCTATTTATTTGATGATGAAAAAAATAATAAATTCGATCACTAAAAAGATAATATAGATTATCCGACAAAAAATGTGATTAATTATGTTCTTTCACGATATGAGCTGGCTTCCAAAATGAGAAGAATGTGATTGTAGGCTGTTTTTCCTCCGAGGAAAAACCCGATTTGTTTTAGTAAATCCCTGTTCTCGTCAAAATTAAAAATTTCCATCACATTATTTACGTTTTACGAAAATGTACCATCATAAATAATGTGTGTAAGGTAGTAGGTAGATGAACTTCAAATAGATTTTTTTTTCTCTAATAAAATCAAGATTTATGTTACGACATGCGTCTTAAATGAAGAGGAATAACAAATTGTGCTACCTAGGCTGTAAAGGGCATTATTTGATCAAACCTATGGGCTCCTCTGTGCTCAATGAATGATATATATATGTGCTCCTTTTTATCTTTACAACTTAGAACGGCAAAATGTGGTCGCTGATAATCCAAGTTTTGGAACAGTAGAAAGTTAACGTTCTTGTTCTCATAAACATCAAAGGATTTTTTCTTGGAAGCAATCAACTTAAAAATTCATCATATATATGTATAAACCAAAGATCATAATTAGTTGGACCAAAACTATAAAATCTTGGCTTGTAGTGTAGGTTATGCTACTCAACGTCCTTTCTTACCAAAAGACACGGATGAGCTTTCATAGATGGTTTACAATAATTAAGTCCCACACCACACAGCTCCACCTAAATTTTTAGGGATGATTGTTTATGGATTCAACTAGTTTTTATTTGGTTCGTTTTTTAACTATAGTTAATTTTGAAAAAAGGTGGTATTGTTAGTTGTTAGTGAATATATTAAAATAATATTTAAATAAAATAATTAAACTTGATTTGATATAAAGTAGGAAAAAAATGATTGAAAGTGGTAGTTAGTTAAAATTATGTAAGTGGATGAATAGTGAATTAAAGTTGATGTGATGTGTAAGAATGATTAGTTAATATTATTTAGTTATATTGATAATATTATAGATAGTGGGGTTTGGTTAAAGTTGAGTTAAATTTGAGTTTTGATTGGTTTTTTTACTATAGAAACTATATTCAATATCTCCTTTAAGTTTGATGGTGGTAATTAATACAGGATTCGTACTCGAGCATCACCACACCCCTTCCAATATGGCCGTGGTTGGTGTTCCTGACGGGCGCCATGTGTTGCCTAGCGACGAGCGCAGTCTCCCACCTGCTGTCGTGCCACTCGATCGGCTTCTGCTACCTCTTGTGGCGGCTCGACTATGCCGGCATCTCCCTTATGATAGTCTCCTCCTTCTTTGCCCCCGTCTACTACGTCTTCTACGACAACCCCATCTTTCTCCTCCTTTACCTCTCCTCCATCGCCATCCTCGGCGTGCTCGCCACGGCCGCCCTCCTTGCCCCAGCCCTCTCCACCGCCCGATTCAGACCCCTCCGCGCGGCCCTCTTTCTCTGCATGGGATTCTCCGGGGTGGTCCCCGCAGCCCATGCGGCACTCCTACACTGGGGCACACACCCACATGTCCGGGCCTCGCTCGCCTACGAGGCCCTCATGGGGGTTTTGTACGGTTTGGGGGCCACCTTTTACGTGGCGAGGGTACCAGAGAGGTGGAGGCCAGGGGCGTTTGACGTCGTGGGACATAGCCACCAGATTTTTCATGTGTTTGTGGTGGCGGCTGCACTCGTGCACTGCGCTGCGACTCTCACTATTATGGAGTGGCGTCGCGGTTTGCTTGGCGCGTGACAGGGCTATTATGGAGATGTCACGTTTTCAAAAAAATTTGGTATAATTTTTAGGGGTGACAAACCATTTGAAGCAAGAGATTAGAGTTGATTATGCAGAAGCACAAATAGAATTTGAATGGGAGATGAAGCGTGTATACTTACGAAATTGATGTATATGGGAAAGTTACCTGAATTTGATATTTTTAGTTCTTATCATATAAACTAATTCAGAAAAATTAAAAATGAAGATTACGATTGCACTTGATGTGAATTGTATGCAAGTTGCTCTTTCAACAAGATGAATATG